ATTTTATAAAAATTATTCAAATTGCATTCTTACTTGTTATTAACTGTTAACGTCATTAACGATAGTCATACGTGTTTGATAATGTGTTTAAATAAATATCACATAGAGCTATGTAATCAACACATAGATCCGCTCATAAGACATGAGTAAAGCTCGACCCTTAACTTTTGATCTGATCCTAAATTTTAGAGCACTTACCACTCTTCTCCTTTGTGATCAAGGAGCTTCTTTTGCCACAAAGGAGTTTGCTTCCATGCCCTAACTTCTGCCATATCCAGAGTTTGCTTCATCGGTCTCGAAATTCATTATCACTTGTTTGATTCCTATTTACTTTGATATCATTGCTAGCATTTGCTGCATCTACGTTGGATTTCTCTAAAAGGTCGAGCATTACTTCATGCTGCTTCATTGATGAATAAATTTAAGTACTTATAAATTTTTATAATTTTTACACACGATTTGATATACGTGTATGTATTTAAAAATATGTTTCTATTATACTATATTTATTACTGTTGGTGGTAACAAATAAAAATTGTATAAAAAATATAATATTTGAAAATTAAATTACTAAATATATTTTTATGTTTTATTTATGAGGATTTTGATATTATCGTTATTATAGTAGAAGTGTTGGTGACAAACCTTATTACTTCAGTAGGGAAACATAATACCAAGTTTTATGGGTAAACATGATAGCCAAGCACCAGTAGCTGATTCGACTCTCTCAAATGTAAATTTCTAAATCCATTAAAAAGGTTATTCTGAAATTCTTGTCGATATTCAGTGTATTTTCCTGTTGTTGTGTTGTAATTTTTTCTTTATTTAATTTAATTTAATTTACATGGGTGTCTATAATTACTTGTATTAATGATGAGACAGTTTCTAAATTATAGTTTTGTGTTTCACTATGCAAATGAGAGTACCCAGAAAAACCCATTAATTCCAAAGATATGGAAAATAAAAAGGCAGGGCATTTATATTTTAGGATATTAGGTAAAGATGATTGATGTATATACATATATATATATATATAACTATGCCATTATTCATAATGAAATTAGTTCTGGAAACCATTTTTTTTGTTTTTGTTTCCATCTTCTTTTTCCCTGTTCAATACTATAATTCCATCATTATGTATACATGACTATGGTAGTAAAATTTGACACGATTCACTTATATTATATATTTAGATACAGAGTTAAATAGGTACAGATTTAGTCTACACAGATTTCAATTATTGTCATATTAAATTATTTACACTCGTTTGATTGGTTAAATAAGTTAGTCACAAAAATACGTTTGACCAATTAAATGTATACATCTACAAATGCAAATGCATAACATTATATGTACGTACATCATATATATATATATATATATATATATAATAGAATATCTCTCATTAATGCTATAATATAGAAATTTAATATGAATATTCGAGAAACTGATCAAGTTTCTAATAGGTTAACTTATTCAACATTTTATGATAAACAAGTCAAATAGATCTAAATAAATTAACCTCTTCATAATCCTTTACAGGTTAGTGTTTGTAAATAAATAAAAACAAAGTTTTATTCATAACCAGTGTGTATGATAAGTATTATTTAAGTATTTCACAGTGCACAATTAATTACATTCGTTAAATATGTTAATTATATTGTTTAATTTAGTAGTAATTGTAAACAGCAATAATGTATAACATATATATATATATATACATATACACGTCCAGCTAAAGTTTCTTTTACGATACACACATATAAATACTGACTCATAGATATATGTGTGTTTGTATTAGTAACCTAGCTAGTAATAATCATATATAGATATAACAAACAAATTTGTGATCTGATATATATATATATATTTTCTGATACAAAAGAGTGAGAAAACAAGAAGAAACAAGTCTAAAAGTTGCATATAAATGTTATGATGAATTGACGAATCAAATTTGAAATGTGAAATTATTTAGTTGGCTTGAACAATTCAATTTTAGACTTATAAGTCCAAAACTCGTTCAACTTGAACTCGTATTTACTATATATTTTTATTAGAAATTATAAATTAAATTTAATGAGCACAATTCTTTTATTTGTGAGATGATTTTTTTAAAAGAAATAATAATAATTAACAAAAGTTAACTATTTGTATTTATATTCCATATAAAAT